CCCCCCCCCCCCCCCCCCCCCCCTCTCTCTCTCTGGAGAAGCCCCAGTCTCTGTCTCTCTCCCTCTCTCTTCTCTCTCTTCTCTCTCTCTCTCTCTTTCTCACAGTCAGGCCATCCCAACCTGTCAGGATGCCTGTATCAGCTCAGCACTTTACCCCTGACGCCCTCTTAAGAATCAGAAAGCCCCACCAAAGGTGACAAGGGCACAGAGGCAGGGCCCGGGACTCCGAAACAGACACAGTGGGCGTTTCTAGGACAAACACGCCTGTCTTCCCGTAGCAGCCTACTTTAGGACAGCGGGCTACAGCGGGAGATCCCCAGTGGCCCCGGCAGGACCTTAACTATGCTAAAATGGCAACAGACCTAACAGGAAGCCAGCAGGAAACCAATAGGAAACTAATCAGGAAGCCAGTGGGACGCCGACCTTGGCTGACCCTCAGTAGCCCAGGAAGTTCCAAAAGCAGTTTGGTCATCTTTAATAGTTAGTCTTTTTGTAACACTCTTTTGTAAAAACTTTGCCAGGTCAGTAGATCTTATTAATACACTAGCCCAGGGGGACGTGGCGGCCTGCAAAATGAATCCCCGCAGAATTCTGGTGTGACCACGATTAACCTACGTAGTGGTGAATCGTTCGTTCAGCTCTGCCATCGATTATGCAGCATTACCTCCGCTCTACACCACCTCTCACCATCCCAGTGACACCTCGGTGCCGCTGGCGGTCTGTGAAAAAGGGGACATCCGGCAGCCCTTAATGAATTCGGGAGGACACAAAAACCATTTTACGCACTGAAAGGAGGACAGGACAAGCATATCTGTGCGATCGGAGGCATCGATTTGCGGTTGAGAGGAAAGCTATTTCCTCCCGTAATGTCACCAACAGCAGACGCGGCTTTCTATGCTTCCTCGTAGCAGACGGAAATTGCAGAACTGCCATTACTATGTCGAGGAAAAATGAATAAAAGGAGTGACCAATCAAAGCACTCGTAACTCCGTTATGGCCCCAAAAGGCCTCCTCGGGGCTTGGATACCTCGGGGCCCTGGAACACGCACCGCCAGATACCTCGGGACACCAGGATGCACACTGGAATGTTGGCAGTGAATTCCCAGAAAGAGGTTGTTTATCGTGCATTAACAAGGTCTAAATCAGGAAGGGGGGGGGGGGGGGGGTGGGTCATCCATCTCCTGTGACAGGGCTGCGGGGTGGGGGTGAAACCCCTAGATTATCTGAGCTGCAGCATGCTGCACCAATACTGCAGCCGCGGACCATTAGCAGGGGTCAGTGTGGGAGGGGTCAGTGTGGGAGGGGTCAGTGTGGGAGGGGTCAGCGTGGGAGGGGTCAGTGTGGAATCTCTGCATCCCTGAACATCTGAGCCGCACCGGCTCCCAGCACCCCGGCGGCTGCCGCCATCTGCTTTGTCCCTCCCCCTGACTGTCCTGCCTGAGAATCCACACCACCACCTCCTTCTAAGAGCCCCATTTTTCAGTGCTCCTTGTAGCCGGACATGTTTCTTTAATGGACATTGGATAAAACGACCCCACAGCTCAATTGCGGAGCCCGCTGAGAGACCAGCATCTGCATTACGTGACACTCTGAATTTCCTGAATTTCACGACAAAAGCCACATATCCTCTTACGGCATTTATGTGCCATTCCGTTCGCCTTCCGACAACAATTCTGTGACGTGCAGAAAATATGAATGCTGGAAACGCCACTTAGCTCTGATCAGCTTGATTTTTAAACAGAATAAATTAACCTTCCTTATGCTATATGACAGCCCGACCTGGAGCTGCGTACCCCAGCGCCTGGCTTTAAAATCAACAGGGGGAGACGGGGGTAATGTTCTGTAGACGGGAGTCCGCAGCATAATGCAGAGATGGAACATCAAAGAACCACCTAAAAATGTTTGATCAGAACTGAGTCACTGCGGAGATGAAAGGTACCTGTACAGGGGTCCTTGCCTGACAGAGTCAGCCCTAATTTTCCATTAAATTGCTAATGCTGTCACCAAGGTTACACTTGCCCAAGTACTTGAAAAAAGCAATAATTATGGCTCAGAAACAGCACATGTAGAAATGTCTGGCAAACAAAATTGCTCAGTATTATAAAGCAGGTATGGTATTCCGAAAGGGAAGGAGGGGAGGGAACAGAGGGGCCTCCTCGTTGTCTGAGTTCAAGCAGGAGCCAAGGGTTTTAGGGCCCCAGGTGTCAGCCCCAAGCCAGCCAGTAGGGGGCGCTCTGAGAGGTCTCTGAATAACACCCAGGTTCACTAACACAGGTGACCTGTGTGTCACTCTCTATTTTTACGAAATAACAGAGTTTCCCTGAAAAGGGTGCAAACACCTTTTTTTTTTTACTGTTTTCTCTCAACATTTGCCAAAGCTACTTATTCATAAACTCTAGCATTTATCCTATTTATATTTTGCATTTCTTGTGGGAATTGACTCATGACTTTGAGGAATATAGTTATTAGAATGCTTGGGACATCGTTTGCCTTAAACACTCCGATTCACGGGAGGTCGTGCGTTTCAGTGGTCCTGCCTTCGGAGCGAGCATGCAGGGGAGCAAATTCCTTCACCGTTCAGCCCGAATAACCCGATGCCAAAAGGGAGAGAGGCGTGAGTCTGTATGGACACATCAGAATGAAGAATGATAGACACTGGCATTGGGATTGGCTTTCCCGGAGGAGAAGAACAGGCCAGCCAATCAGCAATGACCCAGAACGGACTTCAGTTGGTCAAAGCCTTGGGTGGAATAGAGGTATTTTAAAAAATAATTGACATCACCAAGTATAAGGAGTCAAGTAAACATTCACCCTGGGGAGTCATGGATAGATGGCATTTTCAGACTCTTTGGATTCTGGGATATTAATGTCAGAAGAGTAGCAGCAGATTGAAAGTGAAAGAAATGCATTTCTGTTGAGGTCGTATATAACAAAATAAGATAAAGCGGCACGTAGACTCCAGCTGCAGCTAGCCACAGGCGATTAGCATGCATCCGGAGGCACCGTCGTCAAAGAGACACTATCAGCCCACTACTTGGCATCGCAGTACATCACAAAGCTCCGTCTGCACTCCCCGCGAGAGCCTGATGAGCTTTCTACTGACTCGCCCCTAAAAAAGTGGTCAGAATCTGGTGCAGAGTGACTCAGAAATGATGCAATTAGCGACGAAAGGGCCGCACTCCGCGTCCACGAGGTGATCTAGTTGACCCTGCTAATTCAGCTATAATGCTACATTTTTGGAATTCGGTCATTCGCTTTGTAACCTGCAGACTTTCTCCACAAGCCCTGGATTCCGGATAAACGGCTGCATGAGTCGCTTTAGTAAATCGACACACAAGGTTTCACTGGTACCCAAACATCCAAGAGCAGTGTGCAGAGAGAGGGCTGCACTTGAGGCAGATAGACAGCCACTTTACACTAATCTACCTCTGAACAATACAGACAGCTCTGCTGGGGAGGATGATAGATACGGCTCTGCTGAGAGAGCAACATTTGCTCTCTCTAAGCATTAAGGCCTTAAAAAGATAATGTGAATTCCTTCAACCAGGCCCATCTCTCCAGCACATCTTTACTGTGTGGTTTTCAACAACTTCAACTGATGACCATGTCACAATAGTCCCCAGACCGCAATTCCCTTAATTTAAGCTCAGCTATGTCGTTTTTTTTTTCCAATCATCTTTTGTGTAAAACTGTATACTTGTCAGCTAGTAAAGCAGCATCAGATCATGTTGTTTGTGAGTTTACTTCGGTGGCAAATAACAAAAATACAAAACTAGTTAAAGAAACTGGGCAGCTGACAGGTTTGGAGGAGGCTGCTCCCGCCCCCGTGTCACATTTGGGTGCGGTAATTCCCCAGTGCTCCCAAACCGGAAAACTTTCCTGTGGTCAACTGGATCCCAGCTAAATTTGAATAGCTAGACACACACAGGCTGCACTGTTTTTGAGGGACACAATTACAACAGTAACCTACAGACTGAGCTTAATTAGCCGAAGCGTTCGTGTGCGATTCATCAATGCAAACTCATTTTAGACAGCCATGTCGAACCTCCAACATTAATAAACTGAAGCATTAGTATTGTTACACTTTTTATAGTGAATAAACACGATCACTCGTTCATGCTGAGAAACG